TCTTGACTTCTATATGAAACTGCAGCTATTACACGATGCAAGTTTTTCGTTTTTAAATCAGAAGTCGTCTGGATGAATAAAGCATTTAGGCTTGCCTGTGACTAGCAAGAACTATTTCCTATCTCATTTGAAATCTTAATTAACTAGAACACACACTGAAAAAGGAAGGCACAATGTGCCTTCGATTCCTTATGCCCTCTGCTCTTCTTTATTTTTAATGCAATGAAGTTCCTACTTGCTTTAAGATTTTGGCCCCAATTCTCAACAACAGAAACTATTCACAAATTGCTTTTTAAACCTATCTGTTGAGGAAGCATTCAACTGAGGGGACAACCACATATAAGTCTCCGATGACTGCCAATGCACAGCATTAAAATAATCAGGGCTAAAGACATGGAAAAACCCAAAGGTCCATCGACAGATGAATGGGTAAAGAGGAAGGATGTGGTATGGATATACTGGAATATTACTCAGCTATAAAAAGAATGAAACAACGCCATTTGCAGCAACAAGGATGGACCTAGAGATTACCATACTAAGCGAGGTAAGTCAGAAAGAAAAAGACAAATACGATGTGATATCACTTATATGTGGAACCTAAAGTATGACGCAAATGAACTTATCTATGAAACAGAAACAGACTCACAGACATAGAGAACAGACTTGTGGTTGCCAAGGGGCTAGGGGGTGGGGGAGGAATGGGCTGGGAGGTTGGGATTAGCAGATGCAAAGTGTTAATACAGAATGAATAAACAAGGTCCTACTCTGTAGCACAGGGAACTATACTCAATATCCTATGATAAACCATAGTGGAAAAGAATCTGAAAAAGTTATACATATATATAACAGTCACTTTGCTGAAGAGCAGAAATTAAACACAACATTGTAAATCAACTATACTTCAACGACAACAACAACAAAATTGGGGCTTTCTCTTTATTAGAAGAACAAAGTTGCTGCCATGAATTAAAATTACATTCACACAGTTCAGCCTCAGTGTTAATGTCCTGGTTGCTGATGTGATTTCTGCCCTCCTTCCCTATCTCCCTGCAGACTCACAACTGTAATAGATGTTTTCCCCACTCACTAGTTTCTCCTGACTGAATGAATCAAAGAATGATTTGGTAATCTTTGAACATTTCACTGAAATGAATATCAAAATATTTAATTAGTTAACATATTCAAGCTCTGAGTTTTAATTAAGAAGACACAGAGCTCCAAAACATTTATGAACAAATTAAAGCAACAATGCCTAAAGAACAAAAATGAGAGTCATTTGAATTACAACAATGTGATTGAGTCTCAAGCTACAGCCCATTAGAAGGTATAAAACATCATTAATGAGGGTTACTGCACAGAGCAGATTATAATACAAACACATACATCACGGGAGTAAAATCACAGACAGAACTTTTGTCAGTGCAAGAAAAGCACAACACTTTGTGTACAACTCATTCTTTATTTAGAGTTGCTCTTTTACTGCCAGATTAGAAGGGTTTTCTCTGTTGGACTGTGTCTGCATGTAATAAACAGTGGAGAGGAGAATACAGAGAATGGAGGTGATTCTAAATGAGTAAAAGAAAATGAAGCTTTTCCTTGTCTTATTAAAGGAAAAAAAACTGAATCCATGAATAGACATTAAAATTCTGTCCTGGGCGCCTGTTTATCGGCCGGAATGATGGACTCTGTGTTCTTCCTGGCCATCTTGGGATTTAAATAATTTTATGTGACAGAGCTGGTGTGTTGATCAATAAAAAGACAACAATCACTTACACTGAGAGTTTAGTGCAATTTCAAGAATCTGCATTAAGCAAGTTGAGCGTCTGTAGTGGAATCAATATACAACCACCTCACTTAGTGAAGTGCCTCAGTGAAGTATGACTAAATTTTCAACACCAATGAATATGGATTAGAGAAAAATCAAATCAATCGAAAGAATGGGTTCTTTGCAATCACACAATGACAGTACTTTTGAACACATAATACTGCGCAAAATCCAGGAAAGCTAACAGATGTTCACTTCCATTTCCTCTTCTCATATTTATTTTACCATTTGGGAAAAGCTTTCTTGTATTGCAGTTTGATTACATGTGCATTTTGCAAATTTCCAGATGTGTTCAAATGTTTCAATCTACATTATGGCTTTATATTTTAGGTCCCTCTGATTCCCTAATCAGAGTTCTTATTTCTCTAAACATTAAATGAAATTGAAAATTTTCATATAACCCATTTAGATTGAGAGTATTATGGACAATTTTTTTCCAAACTAGTTTTTCTAGATATATTGGGCTTCCATCTACTCAATAGATAATCAGTCCCATTATGCTGCACTATAATAATGAATCCCTTGAAGAGAATATTCATTTTTCTGCAAAGAAAATCTTTTTGACAGGTGAGTCTGAGATAATTTCCTTTCTCAAACTTGTGCCAATAAAATTTTCCCATTTAAGACAAGCATCCTTCCAGTAATGGTAGCATCTGTAGTGGATTTCTTTATAATGATACATAAGAGTTTGCCACAAGAATTGATCTTGATTCCAGCATTATAGATTTCCATGATGGATACAAATAGTAAATTTGTTCATTTCAAGTTGCTAACATTGTGAAAGCAGGCATAATAGAGGTAGAATGCAAAGTGACCCCTGGCTAGTTCCAGGAATGGTTAGCCAATAACAAGGTGATGTTTCATAAAAGCAAAACAGTGCTGAACTTAGAAAATCAGGTGGTATGACAGGTGTGAAAGAGCATATGACAAGATAAACTGAAATCTTCTCAGAGTTGGAGCTGGGCCTGATGAAATGATGGGGCACTTGCATTTTGGACACCCTGATCAGCATCTGAATTTGTATTTTTATAGACATAGAAATAAAAAGCCCGAGGGTGTCTCCAACTAACTAGTAAGGCTCCAGAGTCTCTAAAAACAAATGCGAAAGTGTTAGTAGTTCAGTCATGTCTGACTCTTTGTGACCCCATGGACTGTAGCCCGCCAGGCCCCTTTGTCCATGGGATTTCCCAGACAAGATACTGGAGAGGGTTGCCATTCCCTTTTTCAGGGGATCTTCCCAACCCATGAATTGAACAGAGGTCTCCCACACTGCAGGCAGATTCTTTACCATCTGAGCCACAGGGAAGCCCAACATGTAAAGGAAAAGAACAAAAGCACGTCTTAGCAAGGCAGATAGTGGCAAACATGAATAGACATTTGGGACACAACTGACAATTTTGAAAGACAAGAAAAGGAGTTCTGGGGAGAGGACTAACATGGATTACCCAAGGAAATGTTACTGGAAAACTTAAGACTTGGAAAGACCTACACAAAGATATAGATGACAATTCAGCTGAAAAGGTTAGGCAGAAAGAAGCAACAAGAATCGAAAAAGTGTGAAGGAGTTTCTGTAAGAATAAAACAGAATGTGGGAGAAATGGTTAGGATTTCAGCCTCCTTCAGTTTGGAGGCTCTGAAAGTAAATGACCTCTGCCCCCTCATGTCATCATGAGGCCTTTTGACACAACCCTGACTCCTGTCCTCATGGTATGTTATTGCTGAGTCTGGGCAGCTCTTAAATTGGTCAGAGAAAAACAATGTTCTCAAGGCCATGGCTGGAGCGTGAATTTTCCTTTAATGATAATTCAGTGTTCTGTAGTGAACAATGTCTGACCTGCAGTTATAGGTACGCTTGGGTCTTGGACGGACATCTAATGAGGGTGAGTCTGGGTTATTCAGTTTGTGCAACCCCTCAGTGCCACACATATCAACCCAAAGGGCCTGGGTAGTGTCAGTGGCACTGCTTTTCTCGCAGAAATAACTTCTTACACCTGGAAGAGAGCTTTTACATATTTCAGAGCATTCTCACTCACTGCACTTATGAATGGCCATCCGAAATGCCTTGCAGGGGCTACTACATTAAGAAAGCAGAGTAAATTAAAAATCATCTCCTGCCATTTTGTAGGGTTTTCAAATTAAAATGTCTGTTTCTACCCTAATTTGATCTCTCTATCAACTAATGCTTGTCCATTTTTCATCTTGAGCCTGTGAACTGAAACTTATATATCTTATCAGGCAGAAGGAAGTTCAGTGACTCACTCTTTGATACTGTAGAGAAAACATGATGAAAGACGGCCAGGTTCCAGAAGGTTAATGAAATAAAACTCTACAAAAGGCACAGGGAAATGAACCCCACACAGTCTTATTTGTGAATGTAAATGTTTCCTTGGAGAATGCTATTCAAAGGAATAGATTATTTTGAAGGGAAGTGATTCTGATAGCACAAAATATCTGAATACTTCTGAAACTACTAGAAATTTCATTTATATAAATTATTGAGCTTATGACAAGTTCATATTCAAGAGTTATTCAGGCATTCCTTTGCTCCTTCCTAAGAATACATTTATTCATTCACTGTAGAAGTTATAATTTGTAATTTCTTGGCTATATAAATCATCATGTGATGAGAAATGGGGTCTACATGCTGGTAATAAACCTAAATCTGTTCAAATAAAGACTTCACAATTGTCTTTCCAATCACCTGTTTCTTTAAAAAAGTATAGTCATATACTACACATTCAATGGAGAGATTAGTCAGTTTACTAAAGATTAAAGATTTAAAACTCCATGTAAACAAAACAAATAGACAAAAATAACTCACAAAGCCTATTTAAGGAATACAGCTCAGGACACTGATACCATCTGCCCATGGGTAACTAAACTGCAGAGAGCAATTACCTTTTAGGAGGAAAGCCACCTCTGAACAGACTGGGGTTTTTGTTCCTTAACTTCAAAGAACAATCATGTGCATCAGAATCAAACTCCTTACATAACACTTGATCACCCACATCAAAGCCCCTTCTTTCCCCTCAGTCCTTTCTTTTAATTAGAGCTCATAAGGACATGGTTTTCCATGCTGACTGAGGTCTGTGGCAAATCCTTAGAAGGCACATGGGAGAAACGAACCCATCTGATTTGGGTTTTCACCTAAGACAACCCCTTCTCGGATCCGTACCTGACAGGTGCACCTCGACTGTGTGCAGGCTTCAGCAGGACTGTCACTGTGTTGTCCGTCTGATTCAAGGGCGTCTCCAGTTCATAAGCCGGCATGGAGGGTGCTGGGGAAGATGCAGAAGTTTGCATTTTCTTCCTACTTTTATTTACAATGAGCACTAAGAACACAGTACACTTAGTCTATTAATAAATTGCCACGAACAGCCTTTATTATATCTGCCCAACCCCTAACATGAGGGACAACTGTTCAAACCAGCATGTGTTGACTTTGGTCTTGAGTTTAACCTGGGAGGGGGCGTGAGGGGACTTAGGACTCTGTTTATTGATTTGGGTTCTCCCTTGATGGATGTAGCCATTATACCCATACATTCATGCACATCACTGTAATTATATTGTAAATTGTAAAATAAGTTTAATTTGTGTGCTTTTATGTACATATGTTTTTCTCAAAAAATTAAATGCAAATTCAAGAAATAATCGCTAAGATCATAAAACTGATCATTTCAGTTCTCCCATCTAAGGCAAGGTTTCTTGTGTCCCAAAGGTTCATCGGAGATGTGAAGAGGTCCTCAGGAGTCAGAGGGCCTTGATGGACTTAATGAGCACTTGTGGGCTCTTCTGGAAAGTATGACTCTGAGAAAGATATTGAATTGAAGTAAGAAAGGCCTGGGTTTGACTTTCTGCTGCATTTTGTTTCAACCAGCATGAAAGCTCAGGGACAATTATTATCTCTGAGGCTTCAGGTTACTCATCTTTTAAAACAGGAGAAATTATCCTGTAGGGTTATTATGGGAATTCAAGGGGATAACAGACAAAGAGAGTGGGGCAAATATAATTCTGCAAACGTTGAATCTCTTTGCAGCACAGATCCTATTTCCAAGGCCATTTCTGGGCATTCTTTGTTTTCTAAATTAAGTCTAATTATGACAAGATAACAGAGCTCTTGAATAATTTTGTGATCACTGTGGACACGAGACATCATTTCATGAGGGCTGTGATGCTGAGGGTGTGGGCACATGGCCTTTTTAAGACGCTCAGGTTTACATAACTGATGAGAACATTAAAGATCATTTTTAGCAAATACAGTTTCTAAAATCTCTTACATATAAAAAGCTTTTATGTAAAAGACATGGATTATAGCTCAGGTCCATTTATTGGATTTTCTCAGCACTAAAATTCACTTAAATTCTACTAAAAATGAACTCCAATTCATGGCACAGAAATCACATTTTGTATAGAGAGTAGTTCTCGGAGGTCCATGAAAGTAGAAAATGGGAGGTCCATAAACTATAAAAATTTTTTTTGAACTATAAAAATCAAATATTTACTGCTAATGAACCTTTTCAGCATAACTAAGATTTTAACTGGCTTTGCTTTGGGATAGAGCTGCAGAACTTGATGAGCTAAGAGTGATCAGACTCATGCTAACCAGAACTTTTATCTAACAGAAATGGGAAAAATGAATTAGTTTCTAAAAGAGTAGCCTCTTAAAGATAATAACCTTGGAGATAGGATTTCCACGGGGAGAAGTTACCCCCAAAAGGGGGATGTGAAGCTATATACATTGGCATACATGACCTCTTTAAATCTCCGTGATAAATTCACACACCAAATTAATACCATCTTGATTTACATCCAGGGTGAATTCACTTGATCAAGGTTAGAGAAGAAGTACTTGGGAAAATAATAGCTGGGACTCAAATTTTCTGATTCCATGTCCAATGGTCTTTTTACACACCCATCTATACCACTTAATGTCATTTTCCCAACCTCTCAAGTATTCTTCCTCGTTTATAATTCTCTACATTATTGCTCTTATGAGCTAAAACTTTCTGTCAACTATCAAATGTCTATTAAACTTCAAGTTAAGTTTGTACTCATAAATTAACTCTTACACAATGCAAAGTTATCTCTTAAGCTATACCTGCTTAAAATAAAAATTCCAAACCTCCCTCCTCTCTCAAAACCTAATAGAATGCTTCCTGTACTTGAGTTTATCTTCCTCCCTTCAATTCTAAAGGAAAACTTAAAACGTTTCACAAAACTAGGGATGAGAGACAACAGGCAGGAAAATCAGTCTATCACTTGGCTACCCCTGACTGATGAGAAGTGACCTCCCTCACCCCCCACCCTGCTCTTCTAACCCCCAACTAGTCATAGCCCAAACTCAAATACTTCTGTACTTGGATCCAAAGGGGAAAAATGGAAGAGAAAAATGTTCCTGGAACTGTTCTTATGGCTGCTGCATTTCCCACACCAGATGGCAACTCCATTTCCTCTAGTCTGAAGCTCAAAGACATTTTCTGCACAGTCGCACGTGCCCAGAAATATTTCCCAAGTTATGTCTTCTGTTGGGTGGCATAATTGAGTCTCTACAAGAAATGAGATATAAGTGCCTGGCTCCCCCTGCTCCCCACTGCCTGTAGTCACCTCTCTTTTCTGGCTGTGAAACCACTAATGGTGAAGGTCCAGGGAAGGCTGATTCTTAGGGAAGGGACTCCACGTAAAGCTACCTTTCTGCTGAGCACTCCATCGTAAGAGATCTCCTTACAGACATTTTCCCAACCCTGCTGCTCTGGGAACTTGGGACAGAGGAAGGCAGAGGGTCCTCAGAACATGATCTTCTGCTCATATTCAAGTTATCCAATATACACTCTTGAATCAGTGCCTACTTCCTGAGCAGGATGACCATCTGAAGCTCCTGATTGGTAAATATTTGTAGCATTTCACCGAATTTCATGAGTCTGATTTTCATACATTCCCAAATATGAATTTATGTGTACGTTTGGATGAGCTTTGTACACTTGACAATGGGAATGAGAAAGTACTCAAAGGCTACTTCTGATAAAAGACAAAGCTCATGAAAGTCTGATACCTGATATTTTGGTGGTGAACTGATTTGTTGCCGGGGGTCCAAAGCCCTTAGCCGTGCTGGCTCGGATGGTGAAGGAGTACGTGGTTCCTGGATACAGTCCAAAAAACAGGAAGTGGGTTTCATTTCCCAGTTTTGAAACTCTTCCACTTTGATTGGATAGATCTATTTCTGGGTCAAAGGAACTGACTGCTTTGTAGGTGATCTGTAAGAGAATAACAATGTGATGAAGTGTCTGGGCAGATGGATGAAAATGGCGTCTTTATCTAATAAACCCTCCTGATGCATGCATTGTCAGATGCCTGATGATAAGCTCTCCTGTTCCCTTGGACTCTTCGAATCCTGGACCCAGGGAACAGGCACAGGAACTTGGCCAAAACTGTTATGAGTTATTATTTTATAGACAGAGGAACTGAAAGCCAGTAGATTAGAACATAAAGAATGAGTTCATGTTTAAGTTAATACCTCGAAGTTGTTTGCTTTCAAAATGTCATATTGGAAAACTACATTACAGATGGCTTAAAACAAAATAGACAACCGACTCAAACAGTTAGGACCCGACAAGGGGACGGCCTCATCTCTCACCCGGGGGGCCAGAGTCTGGTTTTGCACTGAAGAGGATTACTGTCTACTGAGAACAAGGGTACTTTAAGTGTTCTACTCCATGTGGGCAAAGATATCTGCTCCAAAAATAAATCCTAGATGCTCATCAGCAGCTCTTGATGTTATGGCTGTGGTGTTTGTGAAGTGTCCTATTCATTTTTCTTCTTTAGAGCAAAGCTGTCCAATAGGACAGTCAGGATGGGAAGGTTCTATTCTGCACTATTCAGTGTGGTGGCCCCTAACCACAAGGGACCATGGCTGGTGAGACTGAGAAGCTGAACATTTTATTTCATTTTATTATTATTTTAAAAAATCCTTAAAAAAAAACTGAAGTATAGTTGATGTACACAACTTAGCAACTAAACAACAACAAGCTGGGTGTGTGCTCAGTTGTGTCAGACTCTGCGAGCCCATGAACTGTAGCCCACCAGGCTCCTCTGTACATGGGATTTCCCAGGCAAGAATACTGGAGTGGGTTGCCATTTCCTTCTCCAGGGGATCTTTCTGACTCAAGGATCGAACCCACGCCTCCTGCGTTGGCAGGTGGATTCTTTACCACTGAGCCCTCTGGGGAGCCTACACACTGTTAATCCCAAACTCCTAATTTATCCCTTCTCCCCCTTCCCCCTTGGGTAGACATAGGTTCATCTTCTATGTCTGTGAGTCATTTTACTTGAATTAACTAAAATTTAAAGTTAAAATGTCCAAATGACCAGGAGCGGCCATTTTGGACTCAGTGCATTTCTGGAAGTTTTCATGATGTTTATCACACAACAGTGTTCAAAGCACCCTGGATGAGTCTGGATTGTGTGAAAATAAATATAACATAGGTGTCTTTAAATTCTGCCCTTTCAAATGATGCTTGAAAGAATTTGACTCTAAGTAGTTCATCAACTCCTTAAGAACGTGCATTTTAGGGGTGATTACTAACTTCTCCTGGTTGTAATGACATAATTTTTAAATGCGGCATATTCAAAAGTTTTAAATTGCAAAACTGAGCACTTTTCTTGCTTTCGAATAGGTTAAAGTTACTTATAATTTATGTGCATGAACACTAACACTGTTATTATACCAAGTGATAACTGACATTCTTTCTTCTTATATTTATACCATGTCATTATAATTAAGGAGACCTCTCTGAGAGAATATTTAGATTGAATCAACTGAGCAATGGCAAGAAAATGTTTGCTGTATGTATTAATCACCGCCGTGCACGACACCATCAGAGTCTGGCAGCGATCTGCTGTTAACCCTCTCACTGGTTTCCGTCTCAAGGTTCCTTGGAGTCAAAGAGTAAGACTGAGTCCACTCGTGCTCCTGGCCAGTGACTTCAATGCCACCTCTGTGTACCTAGCTGCTTACATTGACTCCCACCCTGAGAGCCCCAGAGAAAGCAGATCTAAGCTGTGACAACATAACCACTCCCCCAGTCCATTACTTCACTCATTCACAACATCTCCACTGCATGTCTCTTGGGTGCTAAGCACGGTGCTCTGGGCTAGGGTCTCACATGGTGACTCAAACGTGGTGCCTGACTTGGGGGGAGGGAGCAATCTGGTGGGTTAAGGAGAGATGCAACCCAGAAGTTATGACAGCCTAATCAGAACATGACAGCCTTCCTGGTGGCTCAGTGGTAAAGAATCCACCTGCAATGCAGGAGATGTGGGTTTGATCCCTGGGTTGGGAAGATCCCCTGGAGTAGGAAATGACTACCACTTCAGTATTCTTGCCTGGAGAATCCCACGGACACAGGAATCTGGTCTACAGTCCATGGGGGTCACAAAGAGTCTGATGTGACTTAAGGACTGAACAAGAAGAAGAAGGGAATGATTTCAAAGAGACTGCTGGGAGTTCAAGACTGAAACCAAAGACGTGTCCATCCCCATCTCGAGCTGGAGCTCGCATTCCGGGGATTCATAAATCTTTCCCAAACCCAGCCTGAGGATCTCTGGATCTGCTAAACCCCGGCAGTTGTGGCGGTGTCCCCACCATCCATCCAGCAGTAACTTATGGAGTGCTCTAAGAGCTCTTTGTGGTCTGAAATCGTGATTAAACATGACAAAGGAATTCGAACTTTCCATATAACTGTCTCTTTTTTTCTGAAGAGTGACACCTTATTCTTTTTGATCCCACTGTGATAGGTAAATATTTGGCCCTCAGTGTATGTTCTCCTGGGGACTCCCGGGGAGAGCAGGTGTGCGCTCACAGACACGCTCACAGTGCAGCGAGGAGGATGTCAGCTCCGCTGGTGCCAACAGCAAAGCAAACAGCAAAGGCTTCATCAGGGCACTTGCTGTTTTACCACGGTTGAGGGGTTTGGGCTCACCTCTAGCCATAACCTTACAGGATCAGCTACACTGGGTTTCTTAACTCTCTTTTGGTAACACCCCTCAATAATTTATTTAAAAGCACAAATTCTGTCTCCCTGACCTATAACAATGCACATATTTTTGTTGTTTAGTTGCTAAGTTGTGTCCAACTCTTTGTGATCCCATGGACTGTGACCCGCCAGGCTCCTCTGTCCATGGGATTTCCCAGTCAAGAATACTGGAGTGGATTGCCATGCTCTCCTCTCCTCCTGACCCAGGGATCAACCCATGTCTCCCGCACTGGCAGGTGGATCCTTTACCAATGAGCCACCACAATGTGTGTATAAACTCCTCTTAAAAATAAAAAATAGTAGATCCTCTCCCTCATTTGAGAAATCCCTAAAGAGCAACTCTGTTGTGTCCAAGTGGACACAAAATGTCAGAAAGTGCATGGACCCCCCTAAAACTCATCCAGAGCCCTGGGAGTCTGAATTCCAGGGATAAAAAGGTTCCTTGGAAACAGAGTGAACTTGACTCTGGAACTCCATGGCCTGCGAGGAGCTGATGGTCAGTAAGCGCCTCTCTGAAGGGCACCCAGCTCCACGCTCGCACCCAAATGTAATGTGCCTTTTTGGTATTTATTTTTTCATTTGCTCATTCAGCATGTCTGGGAAGTACCTAGCAAGTACCAGGCTGTGGATGACCAGCAGGGACTCCCAGGAGGGAAGTCCAGGGCTCAGCTCACACTTGGCCATTTCTCTGGCTGAGGGCCAAGTCGATTCTAACAACACTTCCATTGAGAAAGAACCCTGATGTTCCAGGGTGAACTCAAGGACTTCATACAAAACTCATGCTGAAAACAGTGACATGCAGACCACACAAGTGGGATCAGATTAGGTGAGATGGAATGAGCACACATTGGGTGATTTCTGATTGGCAGGTTGGTGCCTGAGGCACTCCAGCATCATCTTCCCCTCTCATGACTAAGTCTCAAATCCTAGAGAACCAAAATGGGATAACACACCATCTCCGACCATGGCTGCAATGCCAGCCAGCCTTAACTAGGTCCTTCAATGCATGCGCAAGCAATCAGAGGAAGCAACAATTCAATATGATTCCAGGGGACACAAGAACCTAGGATACTTCAGAGAAAAGTTAAAAATTTGACTGAAATGCAGGAAAGATTAGCAGAAATGCCTTAGAAGGAGAACGAGGGGAAGGTGTTGGGAGGAAAGAAGGTATCAGCAGAAGCAGGTGTGATGGATCAGAAGGTTTATGGGGAAAAGAAAATTCCATACACTCAGCTCCTTCCATTCCAGTTGGAAATCATGGCAGAAGCAGTAATGAATATCAGCCGGGATGGCACCACAGGAGGTCTGGAACACTGAGGCCAAACAGGCCCCTCAATTCTCCTTCTCTCCACCCTTTGATCTGTCTCATTGGGCTTCCCCAGTGAGAGTAAAGAATCTGCCTGTATTGTGGAGTCATGAGTTCAATCCCTGGATTGGGAAGATCCCAGGGAGAAGGAAATGGCAACCCATTTCAGTATTCTTGCCTGGAGAATCCCATGAACAGAGGCTACAGTCCATGGGGTCACAGAATCGGACATGACTGAGCAACTAACACTTTGACTTTCTTCCTTTGAGGGGACACTGACTCACTGAGCCCAGCTCTCCAGGCGGGGGTTTTGAGGGATTTTCAACACTCACATTTTCAGCTGACGAGTCCAGACTGTTCTTTACCACGTGCCTGACAATCCTGCATGCACTGCTGCATGGAGGCAACATGTAGTCCTCATTTCATTCTTTTCTATACTTAGTTGCTGACAAGACTGCTTACTTCTACTAGAGGAGGGAGGGGATCTTAAGATAGTCTGTCCTCTTCCAACACCTTATACATACTGAGTGATTTCTTTTTTTCTAATGCTTATTGATGTATTACTCTCATGACCAACAGCCAGGAGTTTACTCACTAAGCAATCAAGAGCCATTTAAAGTTAGTGGGGACAATGGAAATACTGGGACATGTATCCCTATGCATTGGGGAAAAGTGAAAGTGAGTCTTTCAGTTGTGTCTGAAATTGCGTGAAATAGTGTGCTGCATTGCATGTGGATTCTTTACCAACTGAGCTATCAGGGAAGCTCTTACTAACTGATAAACTTCCTTAACCAGGCTCGATCTGTGGTGTTTGCATTTTGATGCTGTACTGGGCTTAGTCACCCAGTCATGTCCGACTCTTTGCAACCCATGGCCTATAGCCTGCCAGGCTCCTCTGTCCATGGAATTTCCCAGGTAATAATACTGGAGTGGATAGCCATGCTTTCCTCCAAGGGATCTTCCTGCATCTCTCGTGTCTTCTGAATTGCAAGCAGATTCTTTTCCAACTGGGCCACTTGGGAAGCCCTCTTCTTACCTATATCTGAGTTTTAAGACCTGATTTATGACACAGTGGGCTTCCCTTGTGGCTCAGCTTGTAAAGAATCCACCTGCAATGCAGGAGACCTGGGTTCTATCCCTGGGTTGGGAAGATCCCCTGAAGAAGGGAAAGGCTACCCATTCCAGTATTCTGGCCTAGAGAATTCCATGGACTGTATAGTCCATGGGGTTGCAAAGAGCTGGACATGACTGAGCAACTTTCACTTCACTTTATGACACATTCACACAGCCCCATTTGTAGCAGCATTTAGATCAGTGTCAACTGGGACATCTTGGCTGCTGAAGTCAGAGAGATTAATGGGTTCTGCTTCTGAATTATGATTTCTATTGTTTTCACATAAATGCTACTTCTTATACAAAGATTATGCTCCATGGGATCAGAAAAAAAGGATCTTGTCTTTATTTTCTGTCTGCCTAGATATCAACATGTGGCTTTCAGGACAAGTAGACTGATTTCTTGGGACTTAACATTGATTTTAAAGATTGTATATTTTTTAGTAAAATATTCTGTTATCCTAAGGTAAGAATCTAGAAGGCAGAACTAAAAAATGGTCACGCGGCCAAAAGTATTAACTAAAAGATTCTGATCACAGTGTTAAAAAAGAACCTGTTTGACTTGATTGTAAAAAACAACTCTACAAAAGCAAAGGCATGAATTTTCATAACACTTGATTCTTTTATGATGAAGCAGCCGAGGCAAGTGTCAATCATTCCACACGAAAATCAACTTTTTTCCTTTCCTCTTACTTTGTTTAGCTTTCAATGAACAACAATTTTTTCTTTTTTTGCATTTCAATACCAATTTTCCAAAGGTACAAGGAAGCATAGCTGTGAGGCTAGGTGGGTCAGGGAGACAGGTCACCAGTGAAGACTGTCTGACAGCGAATCTTTCCCAGCTTTGTCAGTAGCTCTGAAAGGTATTCAGGTAAAGGTCCCGTGGGAAGAAAGGCTGCAAATTTTAGAAACCTAACAACATATAATTTTGTTGAATTTGCATTCACATAAGTGCTAGCTTGAAAAAAATGCACCTGCTTGTTTCTATGACAATAGGCAGAGTGCAATCACGCTCATACAGATGTGATGATGACTGCTACCCCGCTAGGGCTGTTATTTTTTTCCCCTGAACAAGTCATCAGGTTCTGCTTTGCTCTCTATCAATAGACAAAACTATGTTACAGAAGTCTAAAGGTGTTCCGCTAATGCTAAGAAACCAAGAGACATTATTCTGTTGCTAACCCAAGACAACATCTAGCAACTCTGCTAATTGGATCATTAGGGTTCTCCTATAATTCAGGAGTAAAGGAGTTTAGAGCTGGCGAGGACAGGATGCCACGGTTGTCTCCTAAATAATGTATATACTGCACATGCCTACTAAGTCGCTTCAGTCGTGTCTTACTCTTTGCAACCTTATCGACTGCAGCCCATCAGGCTCCTCTGTCCACGGGATTTCTCCAGGCAAGAATACTGGAGTGGGCTGCCATTTCCTCCTTTAGGGGAATCTTCCTGACCCAGTGATCAAACCTGCGTCTCTTAAATCTCCTTCATTGGCAGGAGGTTCTTCACAACTAGCATCACTTGGGAAGCCCAAACTAATATGTGCTAGAGAACACATTGTTTTTAATAAAGGTGATTTTTAGGGAGGAGAGGAGGAAGAGGGTGAGAGGTATGGAGAGACTAACATGGAAACTTACATTACCATATGTAAAATGGATACTCAATGGGAATTTGCTGTATGGCTCAGGGAACTCAAACAGGGACCCTGTGACAATCTAGAAGGGTGGGATAGGGAGGGAGGTTTGGGAGGAGTAGACATGGGTGTAGCTATGAATGATTATACATATACATGATGTTTGACAGAAAACTACAAAATTCTGTAAAGCAATTATCCTTCAATTAAAAAAATAAAGTGGCAAGAAAAAGCAAAAAAAAAGGTGATTTTTAAACTATGTCATGTTGTGGCTTTGCATACAATAACAGGTAATCTGGACACATCTAAATCATTTTGAGTATACATCCTGAAATTATACATAATTTGAAAACTCATCTTTAATTCTTTTTGCTTCTATTCAGTAGCCATAATGAGTGAAAGCATTCAACTTCTTAAAAGGCATGATGCTACTATGTATTTTTAAATACTAGATAGGTGAGCAATCATACAAGTTATACTAAAAAATTAAATTACTAACAAGGGTATATCTTACCTCATATAGAGTGATAACACCGTAGGTTTGAATTGGTTCTCGCCATTGAAGAAATATCTTCTCTTCAAAGGTACTTCCTTGGATGGATTCAGTAAGAACAGCACCTGGAACTACAAGTGGGGGAAATTGATAGGTACTTCAGTAAACTAAAAAAAAAAAAAAAAGTTTTTCTAGACTTGATATGTTTTTTTTTTTTTGATAGGTTTTTAACTCTCTATTGAGTCAAAAGATTTTAATAGATATATTCCACTTTCTTGCAAAAACCTGGAATTTAAAACCATTTTGGCTATATTGTCTTTATAAAGAAAAGAATTTCATCGCGTTTTTCTCTAAAAAGTTTGAATCAGACAATTCAAGTCTTGTAAACAAACTTTTTTTATTTGGTAAATAAACTTTTATTGTTCAGAAATAAAGAAGGATGTAGAGTGATGTGAATTCCTACACATTAACTCATGAGACTGTAAACTGGTGCAGCCACTTTGGAGGATGGTTAAACATAGATAAATTACCATATGACTCAGCAACTTTACTCCTAGGTCTATATCCAAGAGAACCGAAAAGGCTGGTCACTCGAAGACTTGTACACAAATATTAGGAGAAGCACTATTCATAATAACCAGAGAGTAGAAACAACCCAAGTCAGCTCATGATTTGATAAACATATCTCAATAACGTTTAAAAGATGGGGCTAGAGAAATGTTTTGTTAGCTGATGGGGGGTATGAGGAGCCCTTAAGAGTTTCTGAGATTATGCCAACTGGAAAGACTGACCAGCATTTCAAGAGGACACAAAGGTCGTACATATTGGTTTAGTTGATGGACTACCTATAGGTAGAGGGAGGATATTGACAGCTACTCTAAATAGAACTAAGTGGGGTGTAGCAGAAAAAATATCACTGATCAGATGGGTTCTGATTTAAGACTTTCCAGGGATTAAACAGTGAAATCTGGGCAATGCACTGACCCTTCTTAGTTCTCAGATGTCTCATTTCTAAAATGAGGAAGTTGGAATAAGTTGATCCCTAATTCCAAAACTCTAAATATGTATATATATATATATATATGAAAATAGTTACAGTTGTTCCAGATTGAAGGAATTGATGTGAAACTACAGTGAAGCAAAGAAACAAGATATTTAAGGAGTGATGATACTTGTGAGTTCCAAGAAAATTTGGATTTTGGGCTCTGAGACTAAAATGCTCATCACAGTCAGAAGCTGGACTATGATGGGCCAAACCAGAGAAAGCTCAACTCATTCTCTTCTCCTTGGCCTTGACAGTGTTTATTTTGACGTCATCAGGTTCCTAAAAGTAGCAAGATGATTATGATGTGTGTGGTTCTACTGCTTCATGATAATTTTCTGACTTCAAAATGTGTAGTAATCTATGTGGGGCTTCTCTGGTGGCTCAGCCAGCAAAGAATCCACCCGCAATGCAGCAGACCTGGGTTCAATGCCTGGGCTGGGAAGTTTCCCTGGAGAACAGAGTAGTTACACACTCCAGTCTTACCTTGAGAATCCCACAGACAGAGGAGCCTGGCTGGCTACAGTCCATGGGGTCACAAAGAGTTGGACATGACTGAGCAACTAACACTTTGGCTTTCATTAATCTATGTACAGGTGCAAGGAGGGAAAAAGCTTAGAAAAAAACAAATCTTTGGTTTAATTCAATTAGTATAAATGGGAGTAAAATTTTAGAAAGAGATTGTCAAAATGATGTTGAACAGAGGGTATCTTAAAAGGATAATAAACTTAATAAAATGTACTGGAGGCCTTGTAATCATGAAAATGTTAACAACAGGAAAACCTAAATGGGATTCATATAATTGCTTTTAGGTCAAGAACAGATCAAGTAATTAAAATAAAGTACCAGAAAGGTTAGTTAAATTAGGAAGATAGCACTTCATGGGAACTTAGGTCTGGCACTGGTTTTTAGAAGTTGTAGAAATTCATGATTTGGAGTATAGAACCATAATATATCTAAGTTTGTGGAATTGAGCCCTGTCTAGTGACACTCATAACAGCAATAAAAGATACATCTTTCCCATATATTTTCTCATAAAATAAATGATATTTTAACAAAATTATTATACTATAATAAAACTCACAATGTACAATGAATTGTAGCCTTTAGTGGCAGATAGTGACACTTCAATTTTTTTTTCTTAAAGCTCAGTATTATCCATTTTTCTCTTTCTGTCCTTTTCTGCCTTTTTTGAAGTCTTTTTTCTTTTGTTCTTGTTAAGAAATACAAGTTGAAATCAAAATTTTTCTAATTAACTGGATGCTGGTATACTATGAAAACAATAGGTTTTTATTTGGAAGTAATGCATGCCCAACTCCAGGGACTAGCAAGCTCCTTTAAACACACAAATAGGTAAGTAACTTATTCTAACCTTAAGTTTCAACAGCACTTAACAGGATTCTCAGTTCATGTCAATTTGAAACCTCAAAGTTTCGATGGGTTAATGCCTCAGCATAATACCTCTCATCTCTATAAAAGACTGAATTTGACATTCTACCCTCATGATGGAAAACTACTGCTGATTTAAGCCTGAATTATGCAGGTCAGGAAGCAACAGTTAGAACTGGACATGGAACAACAGACTAGTTCCAGATAGGAAAAGGAGTACCTCAAGGCTGTATATTGTCACCCTGTTTATTTAATTTATATGCAGAGTACATCATGAGAAACGTTTGGCTGGAAGAAGCACAAGCTGGAATCAAGATTGCTGGGAGAAATATCAATAACCTCAGATACGCAGATGACACCACCCTTATGGCAGAGAGTGAAGAGGAACTGAAAAGCCTCTTGATGAAAGTGAAAGAGGAGAGTGAAAAAGTTGGCTTAAAGCTTAACATTCAGAAAACTAAGATCATGGCATCTGGTCGCATCACCTCATGGGAAATAGATGGGGAAACAGTGAAAACAGTGGCTGACTTTATTTTTGGGGGCTCCAAAATCACTGCGGATGGTGACTGCAGCCATGAAATTAAAAGACGCTTATTCCTTGGAAGGAAAGTTATGACCAACCTAGATAGAATATTAAAAAGCAGAGACATTACTTTGCCAACAAAGGTCCGTCTGGTCAAGGCTATGGCTTTTCCAGTGGTCATGTATGGATGTGAGAGTTGGACTGTGAAGAAAGCTGAGCACCGAAAAATTGATGCTTTTGATCTGTGGTGTTGGAGAAGACTCTTGAGAGTCCCTTGGACTGCAAGGAGACCCAACCAGTCCATCCTAAAGGAAATCAGTCCTGCGTGTTCATTGGAAGGACTGATGCTGAAGCTGAAACTCCAATACTTTGGCCACCTCATGCAAAGAGTTGACTCATTGGAAAAGACCGTGATGCTGGGAGGGACTGGGGGCAGGAGGAGAAGGGGACGACAGAGGATGAGATGGCTGGATGGTATCACCGACTTGATGGGCATGAGTTTGAGTAAACTCCAGGAGTTGGTGATGGACAGGGAGGCCTGGTGTGCAGCGATTCATGGGGTCGCAAAGAGTCCGACACGACTGAGCGACTGAACTGAACTGAAAAGATTATTAGCAAACTTTACTCTTCTATTTAATGACTAACAAAGTATTTTGAGTGCTTATTGCCTACTCAATATCATCCATATTGCTATAGAAAAAAAATAGATGGCTTCTTCTCTCAAGTAGTTTACAGTTAAGAGGGAAAAATTATGTGTAATATAATGAGAGAATAAGTAAGGGTCAAGAGAAGTTCCTTTGATCTATTACAACAACAATAATAACACTCACCTATTAAAGACTCTTCTCTTCAACCACAAACAGCCCTGGATGAAAATGCCTTCTAACCCTAAAATGCTGGAGAACTATATGAGTCTTACTTCTCAGACAAGGAAATTAAGGCTCAGATATTTAAAGATCTTGTGAAGTGCAATAAGGTCAGAGGATGTGGAGAATAAGGGTGGGGAGGGTTGGAGACAGCTTCGTGAAGGACCTGAAATTGAGGAGAACTCTGGAAGGTAGTGGAGGAGGTGGAATAGAGGAGGCTAGGTGGGAGGGATGTGCAGAGGAGAACAGACTGTGGGTGGTGCTCAGGATGTGAGGGGTGTGCACATAGGACCCAAGCCCAGAGGACTTCTCTGCACGATGCCCTGTGTGGGAGAAGAGGCTCCCAGTTCTACAGTCTGAAACAGGAGCACCAAGGACCTTGACAATCCAGATTTGGGCAAGGAGAGTCACTAATGGCTCTTGTGGAGACAGTGAGGTGATAAAAAGGTATTTTACATATAAGTTTAGTGAGTGGGTCTAGTGGTTTCCCTACTTTCTTCAATTTAAGTCTGAATTTGGCAATAAGGAGTTCGTGATCTGAGCCACAGTCAGCTCCCAGTCTTGTTTTAGCTGACTGTAGAGAGCTTCTCCATCTTTGGCTGCAAAGAACATAATCAATCATGTGAACTGTAAACTTCCAGATGTTCAAGCTGGTTTTAGAAAAGGCAGAGGAACCAGAGATCAAATTGCCAACATCCACTGGATCATCGAAAAAGCAAGAGAGTTCCAGAAAAACATCTATTTCTGCCTTATTCACTATGCCAAAGCCTTCGACTGTGTGGATCACAATAAACTGTGGAAAATTCTGAAAGAGATGGGAATACCAGACCACCTGACCTGCCTTTTGAGAAACTTATATGCAGGTCAGGAAGCAACAGTTAGGACTGGACATAGAACAACAGACTGGTTCCAGATAGGAAAAGGAGTACCTCAAGGCTGTATATTGTCACCCTGCTTATTTAATTTACATGCAGAGTACATCATGAGAAACGCTGGGCTGGAGGAAGCACAAGCTGGAATCAAGATTGCTGGGAGAAATATCAATAACCTCAGATATGCAGATGACACCACCCTTATGGCAGAAAGTGAAGAAGAATTAAAGAGCCTCTTGATGAAAGTGAAAGAGGAGAGTGAAAAACTTGGCTGAAAACTCAATATTCAGAAAACTAAGAACATGGCATTCATTCCATCACTTCATGCCAAATAGATAGGGAAACAGTGGAAACAGTGGCTGACTTTATTTTCTTGGGTCCAAAATCACTGCAGGTGGTGACTGCAGACATGAAATTAAAAGACGCTTACTCCTTGGAAGGAAAGTTATGAACAACCTAGACAGCATATTAAAAAGCAGAGACATTACTTTGCCAACAAAGGTCCATCTAGTCAAAGCTATGGTTTTTCCAGTAGTCATGTATGGATGTGAGAGTTGGACTATAAAGAAAGCTGAGCACCGAAGAACTGATGCTTTCGAACTGTAGTGTTGGAGAAGACTCTTGAGAGTTCCTTGGACTGCAAGGAGATCCAACCAGTCCATCCTAAAGGAAATCAGTCCTAGGTGTTCATTGGAAGGACTGATGCTGAAGCTGAAACTCCAATACTTTGGCCACTTGATGCGAAGAGCTGACTCATTGGAAAAGACCGTGATGCTGGGAGGGACTGGGGGCAGGAGGAGAAGGGGACGACAGAGGATGAGATGGCTGGATGGTACCACCAACTTGATGGACATGAGTCTGGGTAAGCTCTGGTGGTTGGTGATGGACAGGGAGGCTTGGCGTGCTGTGGTTTATGGGGTCGCAAAGAGTCGGATATGACTGAGCAACTGAACTGAACTGAACTTAGTGAGTGGGTAGGGGGCCCGGGAATGGGAGAAGTTGGGACCACAAAGAAAGGTCAGAAACTACTACAGAAGTTTCAGAATAAAATAATGAGATCTGGATGTAGGCAGTGGAAGTTGAGAGAAAAGAACAATCTACCAACATATTAAGTGAAGTAAGTCAGACAAACATCACATGATATCATTTACATGTGGAATTTTAAAAAAAGTGATACAAATGAACTTACCGACAAAACAGAAGCAGATGCAGAGACAGAAACCAAACTTATGTTACCAAATGGGAAGGAGGGAGCAGGAAGAGATAACGTAGGAGATAGAGATGAATATACACACACTACTGTATATAAAATAGATAAACAACAGGGACTCTGCTATAGGGCACAGGGAACTATTCTTCATATATTGCAATAACCTATGATGGGAAAGAATCTTAACAAGAATATATACCTATATTAATATATATTCAGTTGTATATATACATGTATATACGTATTGTTAGCCTCAGGTGTACTGACGAGTTTAATATATATCATATATAAATATGATACATATAAACTTTTATATGTTTATTTATATATAAATATAAATAAATTTATATATATAACATATTTATATGTAAAACTTTATATATATAAACTTTATATATATATATATCTATAAAACTCTGCAGTACACCTGAAGCTAACATTGCAAATTAACTAGACTTCAATTTAAAATATAGTTTGAAAAAACCCTCACAGCAGAAAGATAAAATAGACAGTAATATCACTGTTCATATTAATACGGCTTCTAGAATACTAATGATCTACTACTAAGTACTCCAGAAGTACTCTGACACATATTAATAGAAGTCTATTTATTGAAGTCTTGGTTATCGAGGTAATATTCAATTATAACATTGTTCCTATGGAAAAGAATGACTATTACTTGACCACCGACCTCATGTGGTAATTTCTTAGCACTGTGCTAAAGAGCAAAGGCAGCCTCTATCTGGGGCTGAATTTTAATCTGAATTATGGAAAATGTTTCAGAATGCCATATGAATAAGTCCTTCCTATAGATAATCTAATACCTAAATAACACAGCAGTCCAACATGATGACAAAATTTGAAGAACTATTCAGAGTCATGTAGGATTATCGTATGTAGATAACTAATTATGTGACATAAAAATTAAAACAAGCTTCTGTATCTTTATTGTCTTCACCTTTTTAATCAGTGTTTCAGCAGATGCAGCACAGACACATGTGTTATTCAACATGGTAAGCAATTTTCTTCCATTTTCATTGTAAAGTTCTCAGTTAGAAAGAAACACAAGCTGCATTTTTGAAAGACTGCATGTTTCACATAAACACATCACTTCAAAGTACTCACGATCTTCATCTGTCTGTACTATGAGCTCCTGGCTCTCCTTCCGCCCCTCTGGATTCATGAGGATGAGCTTCACACTGACGTTGGTGTAGGGCGAGAGGTTGGTGATGGTGTGTTGGGGGTGTGAGTTTTCTGTGTCCCAGCTCACTTCCTCTCGCACCTGTTCCTGCCCTCCAACTTTGTAACAGTAGTGGACCGTGAGGTTGTAGCTATGGCAACGGGTCACGTTATACCCAAAGGGCTCCCAGCGGATGGTGATCTGCCGAGATTTGACTTCCACGACTTCCAGTTTCCTTGGGCCACGCATGGGATCTAAGGAGGAAAAGAAGGAAAAAGAAAACATAAGAGAAAAGGATAATAAAAGTTCTGGTGAAGCCTAGGTGCCACAGATAATTATATTGGTCTCCAATATCTTGTTTTCTCTTCTTCCATATGAATAAACTCTTTACAACTTAGCTGGACATAACGCCACCCAGAATAAAGACTACAGTTTCCAGCCTCTTAAGCAGTGAAGGCTGATCCTTGAACCCAAATTTTGGTGGATGGCATACAAGGTGAGATGTCAGGAATGGTTTCTGGGGGGTCTCCTTAAGAGGAAGGGGCTCCCCATCTTTGTTCCTCCTTCTGTCCTGTTAGCTCGACTTAGGACAGCTTGCATTCATGGAGCCATGATGGAGCATGATGCACTTAAACATGAAGAATTCAAAGCAATGACAACAAAGAAATGGGGTTCCTGGTAATCACTGGCTACCATACGAGCCCTGAATGGTTCACTCTCAAAATTTTCATTAGAGGGAAATACAGTGCTTTTATTTAAGGCTCTTTCCTCTGGGGTTCTGATACACAAAACTAATCTTCATGCTAACTGATGCATATACTTTTTATCTTTTTAAATTAATTCATAATTATGGAATTAGAAAACATAAAAGTAAAAGCTTGCAAATTCAGCATGAAATACAATGATTAAAGAGTATAAACTTCTGAGCAGAACTCTAGCTTTTTCAGGTTTTGATTTACAGAGAATTCCACACAGTCAATACTGAAGTAATTCTTTCCTACCCCTGATCAGGTCTCAGTGCTGTTCCTCAGCCCAGGCTCCAGGGACAGAGTTTGGAGCTTAGAAATCTAAATGATTTGCAGGAATACAAGCATTCTGATTGGCTTAAGAGAAAGAATATATACAGAGAAAGCGTTTTCATGCATATTTATTTTTTAATGAAGTACAGTTGATTTACAATGTTGTGTTAATTTCTGCTGTATAGAAAAGTGATTTAGTTATATACATATATTCTATTTTTATATGCTCTTCCATTATGTTTTCTCACAGGATATTGAATATAGTACCCTGTGCTATACAGTAGCACCTTGTTATTTATGAGAAAGCTTAAACTTGTTTATGGAAATGATGATGAAAATACAATAATACTAATTATATACTAAGCCCTTATGATGTACCTTGCATCTTTCTAAGAAATTGACCTTTTATGGGTTTGGGGAGCACCTAACCTATTTACGTTAGTTTAGCCATACATTCAATTGATCCATATATTTTGATTTTTGTTTTCATTAAGGTAGTTACCATGTATGATCTATAAAGACATGTATAATTGGAAAGGGGAAATACCCAAGAAAACTTGAGAAATAACAACTACCATGTACTGTGTGTTCACTTCCTATGTATGGGTTATTTTGTATGTAATCTCCATTCCTTCAAACAATCCAGTTTTTTCCAAGATAGAAATGAAAACATTGTGACCATGATGGGTTCAACAAGTTGCCCAAGGTGAAGGATTGACTGTGGCTCTGCATTTGTATGTTTGACAATGAAACATATGCTGTTGCCACTCTACTATAGGGTTTCCACCAAAATAAAGAGAGTAAAATTAAAAAAAAAAAAAAAGACAAACAGCACGTTAAGACACCTAAAACTCCACCAGAAACAAGATCAAGGGATGTAAACTAGAATAAAGTCCTGTGAATGTAACCTTGGGACAAAAGTGCTGGGAAGAACCCTTCCCCCTTCTCCCTTTAGTTCCATGGAAGCTGGGTCCCAGGCCACATTTCCCAGCCTTGGTTTTCCAGACAGCCACACCTATACTTTTTAGCCACCAGAAACCTGTCTGGACTATCACTGATATTCATATCTTGCTTTTCACTGTGCATAAATTCCTTATTTTCTCCATTATTTAGGGCCTAGAGAGAACTTAGGGAAACCCCTTTTCTTGTGGTCTTCAACAAATGAAACAATTCATGTGAAATAATGTTCTGGGTTTGCATTTGTGAGACAGGATTTATTTGCCAGTTATCTGTTCAAACCCTAACACAAGGTTAATCATGACCATTCATGCTACTCTGTCCTGTAATAACTCTGGGAACCGAGGACAAGTGAAGAAAAATTTCCCTGGAGAATCCTGAATGGAAGATGCTCATGGAATGTTCCTTTTTGTGGAATCATTTTTTTCATATTTAAATTACTAGTGTTAGGGAAAATATCACAAATAAGTTACCTAGTGATAACATTTAAGGTGTTTTCCAGTCTAGTGACTTTTTACCATCTGGCAATGTCTAATTTTATATAATTCTTCATTAGTTGAATGCTTATAAAAACTTTTAATACACTCCAGATCCCTTATATAAACAGATTAATGTGCATCTATTCACTCCTTTCCCTATTAGTCACAAGTCTCCACAAGGACTGTTCTAAAGCACCTTTCCAAGGTTTTCATCAATTTTACTTACTAAATGACTAAATGCCTCAAATATTAATTTCAACAAGCAGTGCAATTCTAACTTAATTTCACTAGAAAAACTACTTTCTCCTGCAGAAGTAAGCCTGCATCATTTTAATATTCCTTAGCCAAGAACATACACTTATGAATTAAGCCCCAGGATTAAACAACGGGTCAAGCTGTCCTGAAATGCACGCTCTCTTTCCGTCTGTTATTACCTCTCAGAATCCCATCATGGTAAAGTGATGACTTCCTGTAAACTCGCCAAGTCAAACAGCTAAGCCTAGCACAAACAACCATCTCTATGACCAAGTCCCCATAGTTCTGATTGTCACGAATGGTATTAAGTGACCAGAGATGGAGGCTGTGTGAGTCCTGAGTCTTAGATGGAAGCAGGGTTGTGCAGACTGGTTTGCATCTTGTTCCTGATCAGTGTAAACAAGACCATCTTGCAGAGGATTTTCCAAACAGAATATTTCTTCTCTTAAATATTTTAATTTTGGACTTCCCTGGTGGAGCAGTGGATAAGAATTCACCTGCCAATGCAGGCAACGTGGGTTCATTCCCTGGTCAGGGAAGATTCCACACGCCTCAGAGCAACTAAGCCCATGCACCCCAACTACTGAGCCCACGAACCATAAATATTGAAGCCTGTATGCTTAGGTCCAGCAAACTACAACTAATTAGCCCCTGTGTCTCAACTACTGAGCCTGTGCGCTGCAACTACTGAAGCCTGTGTGCCTAGAACCTGTGCTCCACAACAAGAGAAAAACCACTGCAATGGGAAGCCCTCACACCACAGCTAGAGAGTAGCCCCCGCTCTCCACAACTAGAGAAAGCCCGCACACAGCAATGAAGACCCGGCACAGCCAAAAGTAAATAAATACATTTGCTCCCCGAATGGAAGCTGTCCTGGAGGTGACAAAAAGACACTCTTCTAAAACGACGAATGCCACTGGAGGTGGTGGTACTATTCTGAGTCCAGTTACTCACTCGCTATGAAATTCAGGGAGTGTCTTCAATTTGCTGAACCACATTTTGTGTGCATGCTGAGTCACTAAGTGGTGTCCAACTGTTTGAGACCCTATGGACTGTAGTCTGCCAGGCTCCTCGGTCCGTGGGATTTCCTAGGCAAGAAAACTGGAGTGGGTAGCCATTCCCTTCTGCAGGGGATCTTCCCGACCCAGGGATCGAACCCGGGTCTCCTCCACTGCAGGCAGATTCTTTACCATCGGATCCACCAGGGAAGCCAGATGACAGGGTAGTAAGTCATAGTCACTAGCTGGGGAATATATGTCTATCTTTTCTCACGATCCTAAAGATGTTTCGGAGGACGTGTGTGGTTTCCAAGGCCAGTAACTTCTCTTAACATGCCCTTGGCCCTCAGCGGAATGGGCACCGGGAGGCATTGCCGGCAGCAGTCACGAGGCCAGGGGGTCCAGTCTGGGCCCATGGGCTCACAGTAAGTGACCAGAGCAGTATCCCTGAGGAGCATGGTGGCTGGCATGCCTGAAGCTTCAGCAGGGAGTTCTCACCGGTGTCCCTGCTGGCACCACTGGCAGCATCTTCCCTTGTTCTCTTTCTGCCACTTCAAGTCAGGCGTCAAGCAGAGACACCTGACACTTACAGCCCTGACCTGAGGGACCAGTGAGCTGGTTCTGGCCTCCAGCACTCTGGCAATCCTATTTAATCAGGGACCCTGCCTCCTCATCCAGCCAGTCCTGTTCTTCCAGGAGTAAGGGCAGAAACTGAGTGATAGGATCAATTTCCATTGCAGGTTCAATTCACAGCTCGTTTCTCTGGAACCCTGCCCTTTACCTTTCATTACAACTACACTGCTTTTTCAGAAACTCAATTTCAGAACCTGTGAGATACATCTGAGTGTAATTTTAGAATCCTGTCATTGATAATCAAAAACACAGATTACAAACCGAGGCTCCTGCTAACAGGTTTCTCTTTTCTGCTTCCTCATGGACTTTCCAGAGTCTATTGCAATAAAAGGAATGACACCCAGAATGGCAGGGTGGGTCCCTTCTGGCGTCTTCAGCTACTAAACTTCTGCCTTGCCAGTCACACAAAAGAAGGTGACAAAGTAATAAAGTAACAGCTTTATTTACTTTGCTATACAGTTAAATCAGAGCAAAGCCTTGTTTAACTGATGTTATGTTGGCCTTCCCAGTTATTTAATATCCCTAAGAAGCAAAGACACAGACTGTAAAGAATCTGCCTGCAATTCAAGAGACCCAGGTTTGATCCCTGCGTCGGGAAGAGCCCCTGGAGAAGGAACTGGCAACCCACTCCAATATTCTTGCCTAGGAAATCCCTTGGACAGAGGAGCCTGGCAGGCTACAGTCCACGGGGTCACAAAGAGTTGGGTAAGACTTAGCAATTAAACAACAACAACAAAAAAAACCCAAAAATAGTACTACATTAAGAACTGAGAAAACAGTCTTATTGAATAATGAAGGAAAGGGCAGCCATGCCAGGCCTCACATAGAAGCAAATTCCTCCCGTATTTCTTGGTTTAGGATGGATGCATTCTTTACCATATCTTTTCTGTATTACAAGTGCTGATTTGTACTC